TCATCTGTGAAGACTTTACAAATAATTATTGCGAAGCTAGCTACTTCAAAATAAATCAACATATAAAGATTTTCCTTTTTTTTCTTTCTTTAAACAATTCAAATTGAATTAGGGTTAATTAATGCATTAAGCATTAACGGGTGCTCACTCTGCTTTGCTGCATCCCACCCTTGAATTCATTAAAGTTTTCAAATAAAGATCAGAAAATAGATATAGAAATTATTAAAAGAGCACTCAAAATTCCTGCAATGACTACTGCTAAGAATGCAAGTGTTGAAGGATCTTTGATAGTTCAGAAAATTCTGTAGCCGGGCAGTGATGGTGCACGCCTTTAATCCCAGCACTCAGGAGGCAGAGGCAGGCGGATCTCTGTGAGTTCGAGGCCAGTCTAGTCTACAAGAGCTAGTTCCAGGACAGGAACCAAAAAGCTACTGAGAAACCCTGTCTCGAAAATCCAAAAAAAAAGAAAAAAAACAAAATTCTGTAGAATTCCTCAGAAGTTGGTTATGATGCTATGCGCCGAGATTTTGTAGAAAAAGGAATCATTGATCCAGCATAGGCTGTAAGAACTGCATTACTGGGGGCTGCTGAGGTGTCCTCCTTGCTAACTACAGCAGAAGTTGTAGTAACTGAAATTCCGAAAGAAAAAGACCCAGGAATAGGTGCAATGGAAGAATGTGAGGTGGCATGTTCTAATTCCTAGAATAGCCCTTTACCCTTATCAATGAACTGTGACAGGAAGTTCAAGGGCCAGGTTCCTCACTGATATCTTCAGAGAAGTCACCTAAAGAAAATGACTGAAGAGAAGTCTGGCTGGTCACTATAACCATTAGTTCCTGGTTTCCAATGACAATATATAATGGTTTACTGCTGTCGTTGTCCATGCCTACAAAGAATTTATTTTGTATTTTTGAATAAAGACATTTGTACATTCCTGAATTAAACACTTAAATATCAAAGTTTTCAAAATAAAATGAGAATTACAATTGCATATAAAATAAAAACAATTTCTGTAGATCCACAAAAACATTTCAGAACACAGTGTATTTAGGGAATTTAAGTTCAACAATGCTACTATGGGGGCGTGACTGGAAAAGGCAGTGTCTAGTAATGGGAGAAGAGAATAAATGAAACAAAGAAACTAAAGGCAGGGAATATACTTTAGAGGGATATGTATGGTTGATAATATATATGCATATACACAGACACATATGACACAAATGTCTGGAAACAAATGGACAAAGAAAAGTAGTATCTTGTTTTTCTGGCACGGTAGACAGGGCTTAATTTAAGATATGCAGATCATGTAGGTGGAGACGTGCAGCAAATGCATGATAACACACACAAAAAATTAACAATGGAAATTTAGGTTTGTAGTGAGAACATGGATGAGATTTCCAAAGAGGTGGTGGGAATAAGACAATATAAAAATGCTAGAAAATTTAATTGCCTTTCCTATTTTACATAAACAAAACAGAGAGTATATGAGAGAAAAAAAAGAGCTACAAATTTATTTTCATTTTACAATGACATCATTGACCTGAGTAAGGTTTCCATCTCTGAAGACTGCTGAGGTACACTATTCATTGTCATGTATATTTGTCTGGGGTAGTCTTTCTCTTGTCTTACTGTTATGTTTGGTCTCCAGCCTCCCATAAGACCCTCGGCATTACCTGGAAACCCCAGAGTTCCCTGCAGTATAGGACAGTTCTGCAGGTCAGAGTTCCCTTCTCCCAAAACACACTCCATGTTTTAAAGTATAAGAAATAAAGCATTGTTTCCATCTTGAAAATGACAATTATAAATTTAGGGACAAAGAGCCATCCTTAAAGTCCCTAAACAAGTGGCAAGGCAGGAATAGCCACTAGATAGCAACAAGGCTTTTAACTCACTCTGCCTGAGGATGGGTTAGCAAGTGTTAAAACCCTTTCCCCTCTTCCTCTTCTCAATGAGATTACAAAGAAATGCAGCAGACTTTGAGTACTATTTAAGGAAGTTTTATTTTGATAATGACAACTTTTGAAAACGTAACAGGTATGTGTATTTGTTAATTTGTTTTAAAACTTTGTAGGAACATTGAACGATTTTGGGTTTTGGTAGTTTTGTGTGTTGAAGAAACAGCCTCAAACACGCTAGACAGGTGCTCTACTACTAAGCAACATTTTGAGCCCAGAATTTGGAGATGTAAATATTTTTTCTTCCTTATTTTATATGTATGAGTGTTTTACCTGTATATCAGTATGTGTTCCATGCGCTTGCCTAGTGCCCATGGAGGCCAAAACCAGAGATAGCTTTAGATATCCTGGAACTGGAGTTCCAGGTGGTAGTGAGGTGTCACGTGGCTGCTAGAAGTCAAACCTGGGTCCTCTGCAAGAGCAACAAGTCCTCTCAACTACTAAGCCATCTCATCCAGACCCAGTTTTGGAAATGCTAACTCCATCATTGTAATATTTAGAGCATGAAGCTCATTAACTGGCTTAACCAACATTTCACAGCAGCACTGATGTGGTGGCAGAAATACCACATGGAGGCCATTTCGAGGCATAACTGAGCTACACAGTTATGTTTGAGCCTGACCTAGAATACCTATATAGTGAAACTCTTGTCTCAAGAAACAGTATCTTGTAACTGAATAAGGATAATAAAAAGACTATAACCAGTTTCTCACTTTAGGACTATATTTTTTTTCTTCAAACTTCAAACCTGTAATAGAAGTGCTGTTATAATTTTTCCTCTAGAAAAAGCAGTTTATTTCAATTTTTGTGGAAATGCTTTTTTGTCCTATGAGAAAAGATACACACACACATATGGAGAAATATGATATTTTTTTCTGGAACATCTATACCAAGTACACAGGGATATCTTCAATAAAAAGAACTTTTTAGCTATAAAAGGTAATTAGGCGCCGGGCGATGGTGGCGCACGCCTTTAATCCCAGCACTCGGGAGGCAGAGGTAGGTGGATCTCTGTGAGTTCGAGACCAGCCTGGTCTATAGAGCTAGTTCCAGGACAGGTTCCAAAGCCACAGAGAAACCCTATCTCAAAAAAAAAAAAAAAAAAAAAAAAGGTAATTAGGCGCATTCCAATATGAATGAACCGTAACAAGAAAGAAAGAAAAATACATTGAAGTATAACAGATTGCATCTAGGACAAATACAACTACAGTGAAATATCAAGATATTAAGAAAATAGAGTCCTTAACCAAATAACCCCCGCCCCCCAAGAATAGCCAGATTGGTCAGAAATTTAAAAATAGTTATTCAAATAAAGCTTTAGATTAAGCAACATTAAGATCAGTTCCTTTCCAAATTCTACCAAAAGAAACCTTATTATATTATAGAAATATTTAAAAATTTAGAGCCAGGCAGAGACACACATCTTTAATCTTAGCACTTAGAAAGTGGAAGTAGTTGGGTCAGAGTTCAAGGCCAGTCTGGGTTATATAAATATGGGTTGAAAACCAAAACTATATATAGCTCCTTCACCCTGTCAAAACATACCTTAAAGTCACTCAGTCCTTCACACCAGCAGACACAACAGACTGTGTTCAACCCCACAGAACTGATGAGGAAAGTATGGCATATATGCACATAGACTACCATGAAGGTGAATAGAGAAGGAGATGGGAGGATCTGGGAGTTGGGGAAGTGGAAAGAACAGCACCAAAATATAGTATATGAAAAAAATCTAATAAAAAGTTATAAAAAATAATAAATATCATGTTGTTCAATGTGATGCCATGATGAACCTGAAGGCGGTCAAGTTAAATAAGCCAGGCACAGAAGACAAAGATCACACAACCTCACTTGTATATAGAAACTAAAATACAGACTTTGCAATTAGATGGTAAGAATAAATTGAAGAGATTTATCAAACAACTTGATAAGTGTAATAACAGTTCAGTATCTTCTTTAAAATTACTAAGAGATTTTAAGCGTTCCTACCACAAAAAATGACATAAGACATTAGCTAATTAGTCTACTTTAGCCATTCTATAATGTTATATATAGTTCAAAATAATTTATTGGATATAATTTTATACACCAATAATTTAAAAACACAACATTTAATTCATGAAGAATTTATAATTACACAAATGTATAAGTAAAATAAGGAAAAAATGGACCACACTGACTATATTTACTAAACTGAATCAACCCATAGCTTGTACACAAAATTATTATTTCAAAAAAACATTTTAATTTGAAAGTCTGTATTTAGTCAAATAAGAGTTCTATTTCTTTACCACCAGACATAAAGGGAATGTTAGTCGGAGAGCTTCATCTTTCTCTATCTTACACACTAAAATTCCTCACAACTGTTTGCTTAAATAGTTCGAGGGAATTGGGGGGAAAAAAAGAGACTACTATAGATGTAAGTAAACAAAAACAAAAAAGGTGAAGTTTAAAATAATAAAACAAAGTTTTAGAATTTATATGTACTATTTATAAAGCATATACCAAGCTTTACTATTAAATACACAGTTAAGAACCTTAATTCTAGACTCTCACTAAAAATTTAAGTATGTTTTAAAAATTTTTAAGTTCATGCAGTCATACATTTTAATAAAATTTTATTCATCCACCATTTAAACATCAAATTTATTTAAAAATTGAATATACAAAATTATAAAATTAAATCAGCAAAACCAATTTTTATTATTACTCAGGGAACATAAATGTCTATATTTTTAAAAAAACAAACAAACAAACAAACCAGCTGGAAAAAGAGCTCAACAAGCACCTATTGCTTTTTCAGACAACCTAGGTTCAGTTCCCAGCACCCACATGGTAGTTCACAACCCTCTGTAACTCCAGTTTCAGAGGATCCAAAATATCTCTTTTAACCTCCACAGGTACAAAACATGCATGTGGTACACATACATACATGTGGCAAAAAACTCATACATATAAAATCAAATTAAAAAAAATTAGCATTGTAAATTTAGCTTCTAAAACTGAATTTCATGCTTACAATAATTCATCTCAAAGTACTCTTACCTTTCTTCTGAGCTATATAAACGAGCAAGTCCAAAATCTGCAAGCTTTATTTGTCCTCTGGTAGAAATAAGACAAAGTAAAAAAACATTAGTTTATCATGAATCTGATTATGAATATATATACATATTTTCCATTTCTAGTGCTGAATTAAGACACATTAAAAAACAAATTCTCTCATTGAACTGCTGTACTACATGCAAAGTTAACTAGTGGAAAATGTACAAGGCAAATTTACAAAGTAACAGGTAGCATATTGCTTTGGATAGTTTCTTTTTGCTGTTGTTATACACCCATTCAATCATCCATATCTACAAGTTCTTAATTTTCAGATTCAACCAGCTGTAGATCAAAACTATTAGAGGGACTATATCGTCCTAAAGATGTACAATCATGTGTGTTAATATTGCCTAAAAGACAGTGTACCAGCTATTTACAAAGCATTTATATTTTTAAACTAGACAAATACTACCTTATTTTATGAAGGGCCTAATGACCCTATAAAAGGATGCAGTGTTAAGGGTACTCTTAGAAGCAACCCCCAAAGAGGCCAACACACTACTATTATTTCAGTGGCACTAGTGTGACAGTATCGCGGGTGCTGCTTCAGTTTAAGGAAGTACCTCAGTGATGCATAGGCAGAGTACTTATTCAAGTAGACAGTACTCAAGAACTAAGTCACAGTGTCTGAAATTTACACTTAAGCTGACTGTTGTTCATTACCCAAAAAATCTGATGCAATAAAAATGAATTTTATAGGAAGTTATATTAACACACAAAGCTCATACATACCTATTATTTAGAAGGATATTTGAACATTTAATATCTCTATGCAAAAAGTTCTTCTTATGACAATAATCCAGGCCTTCCATGAGCTGTCTCATAAAAGATTTTATATGATTTTCATTAAAATGAACCAAGCCTGATTCCAGTAGTCCCATCAGATCATGGTCCATATATTCAAATACCAGGTAAAATGCACCTAAGAAAAAGAACAATTAAAATATTAAAGACTTTTATTCCTACAATCTATCTAGATGCTCAAAATTTTTAATAAAGTATTGGTATGGGGGATTATCATTGAAAATAATACTCTGTCATGTATTTATAAAATGTTTATTCTCTCAGAACTAAGTATCAAAAGTATCTCAAAAGACAGTAACAGTAGTTTTCTTCTAAAGATATTCATTATAATACAGATCAACTCTATTCATTTCCACATTTTATAGCTTCGATCTGATTAAATTCTTACCAATATCAGACAAATTGTTTTTCAGTAGAAAGTGAATAAAAACTGTATGCTTCAAAGAAAATCTAAAAGTTTAGAGAACTGGTTTTAATGTAAGGATGTGAGCCCAAACAGAAAAAAAAGTCTTCTTTAGATAGCATCTACTGAACTTTCAACAGACACATAATTTGTTTAGAAGACAAGTGTTTAGTGTTTAAAAATCTTAAATAAAATAAAATGTATACAAACTGAACCCAAAGCTATACAAACAAATAGTACAATCAAGTGAAGCTTTATAGAGCAAGTTCCAGGAAAGCTACACAGAGGAACCCTGTCTTGAAAAACAAAAACCAAAACAAACAAAAACCCTAACCAAGTCATGCCATCCTCTGTGAAAAGAAGAAAACAGCACCACGCCAAAGACACCCACAGCCCATAATCAGCTTCTAACTCTAAACAGAGCAAAGAACTCTCAAAAATGATGCAATCTAAGGATACTCTCTAAAAATTTATTGTGCCTCTGTGAAGAAAATAATCGGAGCACATTTAATAGGAAAATGGTAGACATTTTGAGATAAAATCTTCATGGTTACTAATTCTGTGTAGACAAAGTTATATTTAGAAGGAAATGTCATTACAGCTGGAAATTTAAAAAAATACAGAGGCCGGGCGGTGGTGGCGCACACCTATAATCCCAGCACTCGAGAGGCATAGGCAGGCGAATCTCTGTGAGTTCGAGGCCAGCCTGGTCTAGAAGTGGCTGACGGAGAAGGGGTGAGCACTTGAAAAAAAATTATAAAATTCATCTTTAAGAAACTGTATCAAATCATTGGTCAAACACTGTTGAAAATACACTTTGCCATATAAGAAAGGAATATGCCCTGTACATACTTAGAGAAAGACACAACAGTGTATTAAATAAAATACACACCAGAAAACAGATTACAAATACTTGCCCAATAATTAAGGAAACAAAATTTGAATTCTAAAAAAGTAAAAGATAACAGAAAAAACTCATTTAGATAAAAAATAACCCATAAGTAGTTACATCAAAGACAAACTAATGAAAATGTAACTAATAGATTCCTCTAAATAATGATTTAGGAATGCCACTGGACAACAATTCAGAACCAATAGGGGAAATGACAACTATGAAAATATTCTCTGCAATATAACAAAGCAAACATCTTTTCCATAAAATGTTACTATAAAAACATTTTTACAAAAGAAACTCAACCCATAGAACAAGGGAAGAAATAAAATAGATGATCAGATGGACACAATGGTGTATGTCTGTAATCCTAGCATTTTGGAAGCAAGAGAAAAACCAGAAGGTCAAAGTCATCCCAAGCTCTGTATTAGGCTAAAGTAGAGCCTCCAATATTCAAAGAATGTCTGTGTCTCACTACTACTTCAAATCAACAGATCAAAACAATATACCATTTTCCAAGAGTATACAACATTAGCAAAGGTGAGAAAGGGAAGTATTAATACTTAGAAGATGTGTTTTATTTCTAGTTGCACAGCTCACAGATTAACTCACTACCTCACAGGTAGCTACTGAGTACTTGCAGCAAGTCCAAAATAGTTTTTAAGTATGAAATGTGCACCAGGTTTCTATTACTTAATATCTCAGTAAAATGCTACACAACTAGGTATGGTTACCGGCATTCAATGTACACACAAATGCAAAGTCAAACTGCTTTATATAGCAAGACTTTGCTCAGAAAATTTATTGCTAGTAATAATTAATGATAATGGACTAGAGAGGTGACTCAATGGTTAAAAGTCCTTGTTTCTCTTGCAGAAGACCTGAGTTCAATTCCTAGAACCCATTATCAAGCGGCTCACAGCTAGATGTAATGATAGCTCTAGGGGATATATTCTCTTTTGGCTTCCATGAGCATCCATCCACATACACATACACAGGCATGCACGCACACACAAGTAAAAACAAATCCTTTAGTGATAATATATGTTAAATTGATCATGCACTGAAATAACCAAAGACAACTTAGCAGACACTAGGTTAAAAAATTATTAAAATTAGTTGGGTGGTGGAAGCACACACCTTTAGTCCCAGCATTCAGTAGGCAGAGGCAGGCAGATCTCCAAGTTCAAGGTCAGCCTAGTCTATAAAGTGACTTCCCAGACAGCCAGGGCTACTCAGAGAAACCCTGTCTCAAATAACAAAAAATTATTAAAATTGATTTAATTTCATCTGTTTCATTTTAAAACATTTCATTTTGAAATAAAAAGTTTCCCATTCTATTTCTGTCAAGTAGAAATAAATAAGAGGACTAAGAATTGGAACAAGACAAAATGATATTCTGCTCCCAGAAACCATAAAATTCAATGGAAAATTACCAGAAACAGTAAAAATTCAGAAAGAGCGTAACATATAATAGTCACTAATATTAGCTACCAATTAAAAGATAAGCTAGAACCTATTGATAATAGTTAATTAAATTGAAAGAAAAAACTCCTAAATATGCAAAAACTTAAAAATTCCTTTGTAAGATAGAATACACAGACAGGAGTGTGCAAAAGAATAAAAATGCCAATCTTCCCAAATTAATTTGTAAATTATGCAAAAGCCCAATTTCTAAATTAGCGTTGTGCTTTAAACGGTAACATGCCCCATAGGTTCATGTACTTGAATACCTGATACCAAGTTAACAGTACTGTTTGGGAAGGCTATGGAATCTTTAAGAGGGGAGCTTGCTGGAGTAAGAACAATGAAGGCAGGCTTTGAGATTTACAGCCTGGCCTTACTTACCTCTGATTCCCTCTTACTACTTCCAGTGAATGGATGAAAAGAGATCACTCTGCTTCCTGACTGCTATGCCATATGCTTTTCCTGCCATGTTGGACCACATCCCCTGATGAACTATAAGCCAAAATAAATCATTTTTCCCTAACTTGTATTTCGTCAGGGTATTTTATCACAACAAGAAAAGTAACAAATGCAAAATGCAATGAGTTTAAAAAAAAAAACCCTTACAATGTAGATTATAAAGAAAAAAACTGAGAAAAACAAAAGCATCTGAAAGAGGAAAGAGATAAATAAACAATGGTTCTACATCCAATTTTAACAAGTTTTTTAAAATTATAATGTAAATTATTTCTGTAAAGACCAAGTGTGATTCAGGAAATCCAAAAACAGATTCCAAGTGCACACTGAATTTTTACGGCAGGGTTAGCAGGTGACAAGCAGGTAGGCTCGGGTGACAAGCAGGCATGAAGACCTGATTCCAGATCCTCAGCACCATGTAAAACTCAGGCAAAGCAGCACATGATTGTAATACCAGTATTGGGAAGGTAGATCCCTATATTTCACTGGCCAGTGAGACTGACTATAAGAGAAATCCAGTCTCAAAACTAAAGTAGAGAACAAATAAGAAAACACCCAATTTAAGAAGGAAAAAGGGAGGGAAAAGAGGAAGGGGGGGGAAGAAACAGTTGATAGTGACCTAAAGCTTCTACATGCACTTAACACACCCACAAAAACAGGTACCTACACCTCACAGAAGTAAAGGAAAGGAGGAAGACAGACAACATAAAAAGGCATTTCACTCAGTAGGATGGTCTTCTTAGCAAGCAGTGGTAGGATAACTAAATACCCAGATATAATGAGGTAAAAATAGTCTGTCCTAATGACAGCCACCAACATAAAAACCAAATAAACCAATTATAGAACTAAGAAATGAAAACAGAAGCAATTGTTGAAAATAATTTCTTATGTTGAGAGTGCGGAAAACACCCAAAAAGGGGGGGGGGGTTTAAAATAGGAAGACAAATAACTGTGACTACTATCTCTAACTTTCAAAAAAAAAAAAAGGCATAATATAACCTCACAACTAACCAATAAGAAATATCCACAGGGGCTGGAAAGACGGCTCAGTAGGTAAGGTACTTGACAAGCAAGCCCAGACACCAGCGGTGGATCTCCAGAACCCACAAAAAGGTAAAATGAGAAATTCCACCAAGTTGTCCTCTGATCACATATGCAACTCCCATACACATATCATGCATGTATTGTATTGTACATGTATTACAGACAATGGTAATAAATTTTATATAAAAGCAAAGAAACCCCCATGGGAGCCATTACCAAAGTAGGAAGACAAGAAATAAACCAATGATCTGGAAACCCAGTGTGAATTAAGTTTGAATAAATGGTAAGGGGACAGATTTAGCCAGGAGAGATATCTAAACCAGCCTAACATGTTGTGGGAGTGTCATATATCAATCATATCAATCTGTTGATTTCATTGGTTAAGCAATAAAGAAACTGCTTGGCCCTCATAGGTTAAAACATAGGTGGGAGGAGTAAACAGAACAGAAGGCTGGGAGAAAGAAGCTGAGTCAAGGAGTCGCCATGATTCTCCCACTTCAGGCAGACGCAGGTTAAGATCATTTCTGGTAAGCCAGCGCGTGGGCTACACAGATTATAAGAAATGGGCTAGTCCAGGTGCGAGAGTTAGCCAAGAAAAGGCTAGATATAATGGGCCAAGCGGTGTTTAAAAGAATACAGTTTCCGTGTAATTATTTCTGGGCATAAGCTAGAGCTTATGTGTGCGGCCGGGTGCCGGGGACGCAGCTCCGCCGCTCCTATTTCAACACTAACAACCTATGTTCAAATTCAGATGCAACGAGGTGCAGGAAAGAACCAACTCTCAATAGTTGTCCTCTGACCTCCACTCTGAAATACACACATAGGCATTTACCCCCTGACAGACACACCCACACCA